TTCGTAGGAAACCCAACACTTTTTAAACATTTCTGTCAAACGGGCTTTTGCGAGCAACTTTTTCGAACTTCTGCGACAACGGTTGCGCACCTGCCAGGGCCATCATCCCTGTCAAATAATACCATGCGGGACACATTCGTTTTTTCTTCGCGCGCGCACGCCGTCGTCGTCGGCCGCGGGGCCCTGAATAGTAGCCACGGTCGTCCGCATGCCACGAAGTGAAGTGTCCGAACGTCATAGGGCGGGAAGCTGGGTGTGGGTGGTGGCGAAGAGTCGTTTGGAAATTTGGTAGAGCTTGAACCGGCCCCCCCACAAAGTGGGGGTATTGCCCGCCTCCTATGAAAACCCTTGCACTGGTGAGAACGGAGTGTCCCCACGTGCTAGTAATTGTTGTTGTTGTTGTTGTTGTTGTTGTTGTTGTTGTTGTTGTTGTTGTTGTTGTCGTTGGCGTTGTTATTGCTGTTGTTGTTGTTGTTGTTGTTGTTGTTGTTGTTGTTGTTGTTGTTGTTGTTGTTGTCGTTATCGTTGCTGCTGCTGCTGTGGTTGTTGCTGCTGCTGCTGTTATTGTTGTTGTTGCTGCTGCTGTTGCTGTTGATGGTGAAGATGATGATGGTAATGCTGATGATGACGAAGAGGAGGAGGAAGGGAGGATGCGGAGGAGGAATCTCAGGAGCAGGAGGTATAGGAGGAAGAGGATGATGATGACGACGATGACGATGCTGACGGGGACTATGCTGATGACGCCGACGATGCTGATGACGATTCTGACGATGCTGATGCTGCTGCCGATGATGCTGATGATACTGATCATGCTAATGATGATGATGCTGCCGTTGTTGATGATGCTGATGATGAGGATGATGATGATGATGGTGATGCTGATGATGATGCTGATTATGATTATGATTATGATGATGACGATGATGACGATGATGATGATGATGATGATGATGACGATGGTGACGCTGCTGCTGCTGCTGATAATGATGATGACGATGACGATGACGGTGCTGATGTCGATGATCTGCTGATGCTGATGATCATGCTGACGATGACGTTGGTGCTATTAGTGGTGATGATGATGATGCTGTTGCTGATTTGATCATATTGGCGATGATGGCGACGTGTGGACGATGACGATGAGGCTGTTGCTGATAATGATGCCGATGCTGATGCTGATTCGGATGCAGATGCTGCTGCTGCTGATGATGATGACGATGATGATGATGCTGACGATGCTGATGAAGAGGGGAAGGAGGATGAGTAGGAGGAGGATGAGGAGGAGGAATATGAAGAGGCGGAGGGGGAGGAATAGGAGGATGAGGAAGCTTAACATAACGATGGTGAGCTTGAGAAAGAGGAATCCGATGAAGATGAGGAGGTTACCATTCGTCAGAGAGATGCCGCCGCGAAGGCGCTGATAGAGGCCGCCGCGAGGGCAACCAAGGACGCGGCTCAGCAAGAGACTACCGCCGCGAAGGCTGGCGCCGCCCGTGCAGGGTGTGTCTGATGTTCCTTCTCTTTCTTATCCTTTCCCTCCTCCTGCTTCGTATTCTTAACCTTCCCAGTTCTTCCTTCTTATTCCTTCCTCATCCCCTTCGGAGGTAACGAGGGGATGGGGGAGGTGGATGGGGAGGGAAGGTGCGATCAGGAGGTGGAGGAGGTGGGCGAGGCGGAGGACGAGGAGGATGACGAGGAGGACGAGGAGGAAGAGGACGAGAAGGAGGAGGAGGAGGAAAAGGACGAGGAGGAGGAGCTCTCCTCTTTGTGTTCGCCCACGCGCGCGCGCGCCAGGGGAACGGAGTGGCCGTCCTTCTTGCAGGCGCCCCCTAGTGCGATGCCGCTCTCTCTCTCTCTCACCCCGTCGGGGTGCATTTGGATGCCCTGGTGTCCCTCCCAGACCCTTACACAGCTAGACTGGGCCCAGCCGACCTTCGGGCGGTGCGAATCGTTACGTTCTCCCTTTCTCTCTCCCTCTCCCTCGCCTACCTCCTCCTGTCCTCCCACGTTTTCGCTCCACCCTCCTTCCCGAGGGTGTCCCTCTCGAGTTTGTTCCTTCCCACTGTTCGCACGGTCTTCTTCCTTGCGTCTTTCTCACCTGCTTGCCCCTTCCCTCCTTCTGCCCTTCGATCGCCTAAGGGAGATCGGGGCGATGGGGTTGGGCAGGGAGTTGATCGGAGGGATGGGAGGGCGATGGGCTGGGAGTCGAAGGGGGGCCATGGGGGGAGTTGTCAGGGGGGGATGGAATGCAGGCGGGCAGGGAGGGAAGGAGTGGGCCCTCGACCTGCCCGCCAGGCACCCTCGTCCGCTACTTCCCCAACCTGGACAGGCACGTCGTGGCGCCGCTCGCCCGCAGTAATCGCACGGTGGACGTGTACCTCAGCCTCAGCGTCGAGGGCTTCATCTCCTGGCGAAGCCATGGGAATAGGTTCGTCATGCACCCCGCGTACGTGGGGAAGGACCTGGACGAGGCGAGCCGCTGGGGACACCGCTGCGCCATCCGCGGGCCCACGGCCGGGAACTTTACGCCAATGTGTCGCTCCACCGATTCTCAAACGTTCCCGACCGTATGCCCTGGATCCAGGCCTCTGGGGAGGCATCGGCGCCCATAGCCAGCGTGATCTGGGCTCGGAGGGGATCTGCGGATGCTCGAGGTCGGGCGTTGCCAGAGCTGTCCCTGGCCCAAGGTCCAAGGTGCCCCTCAGGATTTCGGAGCATGCCTGAAGAGGCCCAGAGGGTTCCAGGGACTCAGGAGTGGCGTGAGGAGCCCGGGACACCTCACACTCTTGGCAGCCTCCCGGGGCTGTTGAGGGGAACGTCCTGACCTCCGACGTCATATTTTTTTGGGTGACGTGGGCGCAACAGCCATCGACTCCATCTGCGGGAAGGATCTCCGCCGAGGGCCGCATCCTTTTTGGCAATGGGGCCCGAGACCGTCGACGCTGCGGGAAAGTGTGCGTTTTTTCCCAACCATCCTGTGGTGTTGGGTCCTCATTTTGATGGGACAGCGCCCCACGTTCACTCCTTCCTCCCCCTCTCCTCTCCTCTCCTCTCCTCTCCTCTCCTCTCCTCTCCTCTCCTCTCCTCTCCTCTCCTCTCCTCTCCTCTCCTCTCCTCTCCTCTCCTCTCCCTCCTCCCCCTCTCGTTTCGGCGCACCCCTCACACTTTTCTTTGCCCCATAGGGAGCTCCACCAAAAGTCCCAGTGCTGCAGTTCGCATGTGGGCGTCACGCCCGTTTCGGCACATCCCTCACGTTTCGTGGCCTCATAGGGAGCTCCCCCGAAGGTCCCACTAGCGCAGTTCGCATGTTGGTGTCACGCCCGTTTCAGCACACCCCTCACACGTTTCGCCATGGGGAGCTCCACCGAAGGTCCCAGTGGCGCAGTTCGCATGTGGGCGTCACGCCCGTTTCGGCACACTTCTATCACGTTTCGTGACCTCATCAAGAGTTCCTCCGAAGGTCCCAGAGGCGCAGTTCGCATGTGGGCGTCACGCCAGTTTCGGCACACTCCTCACACGTTTCGTGGCCCCATGGGGAACTCCACGGAAGGTCCCAGAGGCGCAGTTCGCATGTGGGCGTCATGCCCGTTTCGGCACACTCCTCACACGTTTCGTGGCCCCATGGGGAGCTCCACGGAAGGTCCCGGTGGCGCAGTTCGCATGTTGGTGTCACGCCCGTTTCGGCATACCCCTCCTACGTTTCGTGGCCCCATAGGGAGTTCCACCGAAGGTCCCACTAGCGCAGTTCGCATGTTGGTGTCACGCCCGTTTCGGCACACCCATCACACGTTTCGCCATGGGGAGCTCCACCGAAGGTCCCAGTGGCGCAGTTCGCATGTTGGCGTCACGCCCGTTTCGGCACACCGCTCCCACGATTCGTGCCCCCATGGGGAGCTCCGTAGGAGGTGCCACTGGGAGGGTTGACATGCGTCTCCCCCCTCGCCAAATCGGCACGCCCCTCACACGCATCGTGGCCCCATAGGGAGTTCCACCAAAGGACGATCCTCACAACTGCGGCATTCACGACTGCATATGATTGGGTTTTTCGCTAGGCCAATTTTGGCGACCCTTGAGGTCTGCGTTCGAAGAAAGGACATCAGCAGATACTTTTGGAGGCCCGTGCCGATTTCTTGGATCGGCGCTGGAATCCCTTTCCTTGGCTCGCGAAGTGCGCCAGCGGCGGCGCCGACGGCGCCGCCAGGGGGTCTAGCGCCGATCCAAGAACTCTGCTCTGACCTCCGACAGTCTATTATTATGGATCTTGTATTCAATTGTGTGTGTGTGTGCGTTTGCTAGCCCTTCTCCCTGAAGCCAGGTGAAGGACATGATCGTCGAGGGGATACGCGATCATGGGGGCACCGCGGCCGCAGTGAGGAGCGGGGGCAGATTCCGCAAACTCAGGGGCCGCCTCGGCAGTGTCTGAGCACGAGGGCCGGCGGGGGAGCTCCCCGCTCCTCTCCCCCTGCGCCTCCTCCTCCTCTTCCTCCTCCCGCCCTCTCCTCCTCCTCCTCCTCCTCCTCCTCCTCCTTCTCCTTCTCCTCCTCTCTATTCCTCCTTCCTCCTCCCCCTTCCCTGATTCACTCTCACTGCCCTCCTGGTGTGTGTGTGTGCATATATAGATATGTCTAATGGCCTTCGGCCCATCTCGCCGCAGTGCTTGGATTGTGGGTGAAGTTCTCAGGAATGCTACTTCGGGTGCAGTTTTGAGGCCTCTTGGGAGCCTCTTGGGGGCGTCTTGGGAGCCTCTTGGAGCCTGTTGGGGGCCTCTTGGGGGCCTCTTGGGGGCCTCTTGGGGCCTCCTGGGGCCCCCTCGGGGCCGAGGGCTGTAATTGTCCGTTCGGGTTCTCCATCTGGACCCCCTCTCGGGGCCGTCTTTGGGCCCTCTTGGGCCGTCTGCGGCGCCTCTTGGGCAGTCTTGGGGCCCTCTGGGGCCGTCTTGGGGCGATCTTGGGGATCTTCATGCAGTGCATCCAGTTTCGCGTCAGCAGAGGATACGACAGTACAATGCGGCACCCATTTGGACTTGCACATGCCTCTATATAGGCCTACGCTCCCGTGGTGGCCGAGATCGCCAGGCACAGGTTCGAGCTCACACAACGACTCACCGTGTTACCTGGCGAGCATCCCACTATCAGGTGGTCGGTTAGGCGTCATCGTCGACACGGGCGCCTGGATCAACCTCTGGGGTATGCGATTTCCCAAGAATTTGTCTTGGAGAGCCAGCCATGCAGGCGAAGTTTCCCTTCGGAGGAGAAGGGCAGGAGTTGGCAACGGGTCGCAAGTCGCAGGGCGGGAGATCCATTGCCCGATCGTGGTGACCTCCCGCGACGGTGTGATGGCCTGTTGGGTCTGCAGTCCATGCAGTTTAACAACGGTGTGGCGGAGACAAGCGCGGAACACAAGCGCCCCACCTTTCCCGGACCACGCGGCTACGAGATCACTTGGGGCCCCGTCACCATCCACTTCGACCTGGAGTCGGCGCCGAGTAGGCACGTGTGCATCCCAGTCGACGACTTCGGCAAGCTCCAGCCGCGCTCCAGGGGCCTGTCGCCTAAGCAGCTCACGCTGCTGGCGGTAGGCAGCGACAACCAGGATCACCAGAACGCCGACGAACGGAAATTTAACAAGTTGAAGATCTCGCTCTGAATGCGAAAGCGCCTCCACGTAGCGCCACCGTTTCTTTCGGCTCCGACCCCGACGCCTGCTCCGACGCCAGTATCGCGACCTATGGTTGGGAACTGGTTGGTGTCCTCGGGCATTGCAGCACTGGCGCCACCGGGCGCTTACATGCGTATTGCCCCACGCCCAGGTCTCGTTCTCAAAGGTATCGACATTGCCAGCGGCGTGGTGGACCCCGACTACCGCGGGGAAATCAAGGTCATCGTGAGCAACGCCAGCCCGCGGACCAACGTGGTCGAGCGGGGCCACCGCACCGCCCAGGTCATCTTGGAGCGCTACAACGACAGCGCCGAGATCGTGGTCTTTCCCAGTTTATCTTCATCGTCTTGTGCATCAGGTGGCTTTGGACATACTGGGATGACGTAGCTTAGCCATAACGTCATCCCGAGCGACCTGGGCAATCTGACCCCCGAGGGTCGGCTCGGTATTTAATTGTGGTGCCGAGTGCCGCAGGGAGTCGGCGCCCTAGGAAATTGCCGAGCTGGCCCGCCAGGCTGGCCCCGCCGACCTGCCCCGCCATTAATGGGCAGCAGGACCAGGACGTCCCGCCTGGGTCCTTGAACGGGTACGGGACACATCGCAGGCGCTAGTGGACTTCGTCTTTGACGTCATCCGCACCGCCGACTACAAGAATGCAGTCGGGTCGTTGTCCGGTGGCAGGCTTCCCAGCACCAGCTACATTATTTCGCGGATCACGTGCGACACCGACCGGGGCGATGTGCACCCCATCGTTGATTCCCTGCCTCCCGGGTGCTCCCAGTTCAATGGTTTTGGCGCCAGAGTAGTGGTCACAGGTCGGAATTGCCAACAGTGGAAGCGACGCAAGCAGTGCGGCAAGTTATCGAGACGCACGTGCTCTACCCAGCTCGTACCGTGCTTGCCGCAAGAAGTTGGCCCGCGAGGCCGAGCGCAGCAACTGTGCTTTCGTGGTGTTGATTGTATCACCCATCAAAATACAGTTTTGCGGTTGCAAAATCAAGCTGGCGACTTGGCGACCGCGAGCCTACGCAGGTACTTGGAATTGATGTACTGCGAGTTTTCGTCTTGCGCCCGACTGCAGGTGCACTTCAGCGAGCAGGGTGGTGCCGGGGAGGACGCGCTCTCGACGAGGCACAGCGGCAGTTCTAACGCCAGGCTCGAACGCTACGTCCTGTCCCGTGACGACTGGCAAGCGTGATTCCACGCAGCGCATTCAGGATGCCAAGCGGCACGTTCAGAACGACCAGGACGGTCAACCCTGGGAGGCGCTTAACAATTATGTTGCCAGCATTCACCCGGCCGATGCGGCCGCGAGATCGCGATGCGCTCTCGTTGCGAAATGGTCGCCTGGACCGAGTCGTGCCAGCGGCTAACGCAGGCAACCTTTTTCAACGCAAAGCTTTTGCCCCCCCGCCAAGTCGCGGTTCCCGCTGAGGATCGCCCTCAGGACAAGCGCCAGCAGCCGCGGGGGGCGTCTGGCAACTACGTTACCAGCGCCGACATTACTACCGAACGGGGGGCGCCTGGTGGCCGTGCTGCCGGTGCCTACCCCACGGCAGAGCGCGCGCGTCAGAAGAAGTGAATAAAGGAGGACCGCGCGCCCAAGGCTCGGAAGCAAATCGAGGACCGCTGCGACGACTGCGAATCCAACCTCGCTGGCCTCGCTTCATATCTTCTCGGATTCCCAGCTGTTGGCGAGCCCGTTTTCGCCGGCGATTGCGACGTGGAGGAACTCCATGGCAACCCCGCCTCAGGTTTGCCCGCGTGGTGGTTGCAGGGAACGTCGGCCCCGGCATCGGATCGCCATCTGTCGAGTGCCCAAACGATGTCGCAGCGCGCTGAGTTCGACTCCATTCGCCACCTCATCACCTACCTCACCACTATCGACTGCGGCGTCGACATCGTTGAGGCTTGCGATGGGAAGACTCGGACTAGCCGGCTTGAGCAGTTCGGCAACCTCAAGTGCCCGAACAAGCACGCGCGCGTCCACGTCGACGGCCGCGACGCCGTCGACGCTCAGACTTGGCCGTGGAGAATGGCCGAACGACTTTACAAGTTACTGTGGGCCTACGTCGCCGCGTCAGGCGTTCGCATCTCGCGAACTGTGTTCGTGGGGCGACGTCCCAAGCAGCTGCCTCCGGAGCCGCGGAGGGTCATGTTCAGAATGGCATGGCCGCCGAGCGCGCTCGCCACGCGTGCAAAGCGTGCAATCGCAACTCGCGGCCGTTTTTACCCGTGCCCTCCAGGGGGCAGGCCGCATGCCGGTACCTTCGCAGTGCTCGTGTTCATTGGGCGTGCCCCGGCTGCCATGGGGGGCCCTGCGGGCGCTCGAGAGTTCAGCATTTGCAGGTTCGCGGGCCCTCGCGCGCCGCCGCGCCCGCGCGCCGGTCAGCGCCCGCGATCGCCGGGGCGACCTGGGGGGCCGCGCCGCTCCAGCGACCAGCTGGCTCATTGAGGTGACGGAGCTGATTTGAGAGCAGCAGGCGAGGCAGCTCTGCCAGCAGCGCCCGCAGGTGCATCGGGATCCAGCTCATCGTCTAGTGCTGGGGCTCAGAGTAGCGGTTCCCGCGTCTGCTTGCTGGGCCGCGAGGTGCTGGCGACTGCGTTGCTAGACAGGGACTGCGAGCCAGCCCAGTAACGTGGATAATGCCGAGGCGGAGAGCCGCGCGAGTCGCCGACGCAGCGATAGGAAATCCGACACTCTCCGACTGGGGTCGCTTCGACGTCGCCGCGCCACTGCGGGGAGATGGCGCGAGCACTGCGCGCGGCCGACGTTTCTCAGGGCGTCCTCGACCTCATCCCCGAAGTGATCAACAAATGCAGGGGGCGCCGCAAGGGGCAACCACCTGCGCGCCAAACCATCCCGGCACTCCGCCTCTCGACGCCGTGGATCCAGCTGTTCGGTGCGATGGGGGCGTTTAGCGTGGACGGCGAGGGTGGCGTGGCCTTGACGTACTTCGCGGAGGGGATGACGAGGCGAGGGGTCCAGGTGGACATCAGAGCTCAGCGGCAGCACTTCCGTTTCATCAAACGACGTGGGGCTATGCCGCGACGTGCGTTTCGCGCCGCAGAGGGGCAGCTGTGGCTAGAGCGCGAAGGTATCACAGCCAACTTTCACGCTATGTATGCCCGCGCGACATTCGCGGCATCAGCCTCGCCCGCTTTGGCGGCGTTACATCATGCATCGCCGTCTTCGGAAGGCAGCCGTCCATGCTGCCACCGCTGGAAGCATGCGAAGCAGGTGATGCATCCGGCGACTGTTGCTGGTGCCGGCCCCTCTGCTGGGGCCGGCGGCAGTGGCCAATCCGTGAGATAGCATTGCAGCGCATGATCGAAGCCACGTCCATCTCCCGCGCCCATTCGGACACGCAGTCCTCAGTTCGGAGAGGGTCGTTTCAGCGTGGGCGACCAGGTGGAGATCCACGGGCCTTCGAGCACGAAGGACGTGCCTGGCTGGGTGGGCATTGGGACTGCCATGTCCGCCGACCTGGTTCGCGGCGTGGTGATGGCCGAGTACCTCCGAGCCGACGTGGTTCGCAAGCTGCAGGACGTCAGGCCTTTCACCAGTGCCGTCTTCGACCGCGTGGGCACCGGCTTGGCGCGAGCTGGCTTGGCCTGGGGGCGAATGGAGGATTTCTTGGAGCACGTCGTATCTGGGAGCGACTAGCACCTTCGGCCACTGGGGGGACGTCAGGGGCGTGCAGATCACCGCGCAGAC